CCCTCTGAAAAAGAATCCTAAATACGATCCTCTTAAACCCCAAAGGGGAGAATATTAAAATATCCCAACGGCCTACCCAGCAAACTTTCAGACAGTGTGCTGTGTGATGCGTCTATCATGGCCGAGGTAACCGGTTTGAAGGCCTCCACCCTAAACCCTTGAACCCTAAACCTACACCCTTTGAACCCTCAACCCTCAACCCTCAACCCTAAACCCTAAACCCTCAACCCTAACCCTAAACCCTAAACCCTAACCCCGTACTTTGCATGGGCAAGGGATCAAAGGCCCGCACAGACCGGCCCTCGCCGGATGTTTCGGGCATCAAAGACCACAATCTCGCAGCCTGCTGCCGTAAACCCAGCCCAAGACCGAACAACTCCAGGGTTTAGGGTTTAGGGTTTAGGGTTCAGGGTTCAGGGTTCAGGGTTTAGGGTTTAGGGTTTAGGGTTTAGGGTTTAGGGTTTAGGGTTCAGGGTTCAGGGTTTAGGGTTTAGGGTTTAGGGTTTAGGGTGAGGCGTTTAGGCGGTTTAGGATTTAGGGTTTAGGGTTTTAGGGTTTAGGGTCTAGGGTCTAGGGTCTAGGGTCTAGGGTCTAGGGTCTAGGGTTTAGGGTTTAGGGTTTAGGGTTTAGGGTTTAGGGTTTAGGGTTTAGGGTTTAGGGTTTAGGGTTTAGGGTTTAGGGTTTGCATTTAGGGTTTGGGGTTTAGGGTTAGGGTGTAGGGTTTAGGGTTTAGGGTTCAGGGTTCAGGGTTTAGAGTTTAGGGGAGTTTAGGGTTCAGGGTTTAGGGTTAGGGTCTAGGGCGTTGGCCTGGACGTCTAGAACCCACAAAGACTCGCACACCAAATCCAAAAGGGTTTAGGGTTTAGGGTTTAGGGTTCAGGGTTTAGGGTTTAGGTTTTAGGGTTTGGGGTTTAGGGTTTAGGGTTTAGGGTTTAGCGTATGAAGAACTCTGCACAGTCCGCAAATCCCCCTTTCCAAACTCCAAAAACGACAAAGCCCTAGAGCCCTACGCTTTGCGGTAACCGTGGTCGAAAGCATATATGAGTATCATTGTATAATACTATATCATGTTATGTTATTCTGAATGTGAAAACATCATAAATTATCAAGTAAAACATCACAAATTATCAAGTTATCATAATCTGTTGTACTATGTTCGAATTATATGCTGTCATATGAAAAATATGTTATAGTATGGAATAATATGGTATAGCATGTTATAGTATGTTATAGTATGTTATAGTATGTTATAGTATGGAATAATATGTTATAGTATGTTATAGTATGTTATAGTATGTTATAGTATGTTATAGTATGTTACAGTATGTTATAGTATGTTATGGTATGTTATAGTATGTTATAGTATGTGATAGTATGTGATAGTATGTGATAGTATGTGATAGTATGTGATAGTATGTTATAGTATGTTATAGTATGTTATAGTATGTTATAGTATGTTATGGTATGTTATAGTAGGCTATAGTATGTTATAGTACGCTATAGTATGTTATAGTATGTTATAGTATGTTATAGTATGTTATAGTACGTTATCGTATGTTATAATACAGTGTGTTTTAGTGTGTTATCCCATGTTCGAAGGTGTTTTGAACTGCTAAGGTATGTGCTAATATGCTATAGTTATAATATGTAAGATAAAGATATTTATAACAAACTAAACGTATGACGACATATTGTACTAGATTTTTATCCGCATATTCTAATGCAACATTGTCCTATAAATATATCTGTATATTCTCCGCTCCCCACACGCCACAACAGTCCCTTTCAAGACCTGGGGTTAAGGGTTTAGGGGTTAGGGTGCAAGGCCGCTCCCCCTTTTTTGGCAACACTTACTACAATGAGCTAGGGTTGAGGGCATAGGGTTTAGTGCTTAGGGTTTAGGGTTTACTGCCAATTGCTTAAGAGCCCCCAAAAGAACAATAATCTTCCTTCTAAGGGCAATATAGGGATTACTATTTCTTTTTTGTTGGGGGGGGGGGGGGGGGGTTCTTAAGCGAATAGTAGTTTAGGGTCAATTTTGGTGCTCCGCGAATACAATTCTTATTGAAGACCGTTGCCGTAAGGGGGGAAAGACTTCCGAAGTGCTAGGAATTCAACACAATGTCACCGCCAAAGTCACCAAACTATAGCCAAGGGCCAACATCAAACGAGTCATCTGCAGCAGGGCCGGCAGAAGATCACCATGGACCCCCTAGCCTCTTTTTGGAGTTAAGATATCCAAAGATCCTAGACCTGAAACCCTAAACCCTAAACCCGAAACCCTAAACCCTAAACCCTAAAACCTAAACCCCAAACCCTAAACCCTACCGGCAGATCCAGGAACCCGGGCTCAGCTCGCGCCCATCCAGGAGGATCCCAACCAGGTAGCCGTCATCCTCTTGACCCGAGCCACTGGCTTTGGGTTTGGGGTTTAGGGTTTAGGGTTTAGGGTTTAGGGTTTGGGGTTTAGGGATTAGGGTTTAGGGTTTGGGGTTTAGTGCTTGGGGTTTAGGGTTTGGGGGTGTTAGTTCTTACCCCTAATTACACCCAAAACCGTGAAGCCCTCAAGATCACAGGTGCTGTCCCACGATTGGAGGCACCCTGTTGGGGTTCCTGCAAGAAGGGTTCAAGCATTTGAGGGTACATACTGAACTTTTTCAGGGCATGAGTGGTTCGCTTGGGGTCTAGGGTTTAGGGTTTAGGGTTTAGGGTTTAGGGTTTAGGGTTTAGGGTTTAGGGTTTAGGGTTTAGGGTTTAGGGTTTAGGGTTTAGGGTTTAGGGTTTAGGGTTTAGGGTTTAGGGTCTAGCTATACCCCCAAATGATTCAATTCAACCGCCCCAACGCGCCTCAGCTTCACCCTCAGCGTCAGGGCAGAAGACCGCCTCTGGTTGACCGCTTGGGGATTTGTGGGCTTTAGGGTTTAGGGTTTAGGGTTTAGGGTTTAGGGTTTAGGGTTTAGGAGCCTCTCGGCCCAGGGCGACTAGAGCCGAGGTCGTTGGGTAGCCTCGTGCCTGCAAATTGGGCCCTGCCATGTCGAACCAGGGGACACATGAAAGAGCGACGCATCCAGCCTGGGAGTCATTGAGGGATCTCTTTGGTTTTGCGGCACATTGCCAGGATCTTCGGGAAGGCCAGCTAGCATGCTTTGATCTTCGTTTGGACGGCGATTTTGTGCCGGCAGGCAAGGACTTCCTGGTGAGAGCGCAGGTGCTGCAACAGGCACACATTTGGGCGGCCAATGGGGATATCAGCGTTTGCCCCTCCACCGCGGGAGGGAAGGCTGTGTTACGTCTGAGAGCTTCGGATTTCTACACCCTGGCAAGCCACACTCGTAGGGTACGAGCTGCGTGGACGGTGGCATGCTGTCAGGGTGACGTGGTCATCTTGGACGCCACGATGGGACCGGCGTTCCTCATGGGGCAACTGGACATTGAAAAGCATGAGGTGGTTCGTAGGGCTGAAGTGTTTTGCGGCGGCTTTAGCGGCTGGAGCCAGGCAGCCATGCGCATGGCACTCGTGCGGGTGCCTTGGGAGGTGAGCTGGTCGCTGGATCATGACCCTACAGACACGCAGTTTGAGCCTCATGATGCCATTAACCCCGCTGTAGCTGTGCATTGTTGTATTGACAAGCGACTCAGGGCCAAGTTTGCAGTAGTCTTGCCAGTCTCCCCTTTCTTCAACGCTCTGTTTGATGCTGGGTGTAGGAGGGCTGTTGAGAGTTTCCGGACCCACCATGTACCTATGTCACAGGCGGCAGGCACTCCACAAATGACCCTTGCTTTCAACGCGCAGGAGACCACCATTTGCGGACACTCCCCTAGTTTGACCGTTGCAGCTACTACAGGACTCACCCTTGCTTTCAACGCGCTGGGGGCCATATCCCGAACCCCTTTAGGGTGTAGTCCCAACCCGTGTGCACACCCCCCCAGTGCTACAGAGGGCACAGGCACTCCACCGCTCATTTTGGGGCTGGGCCCTATCCTTGCTTTCAGCGCGCTGGGGGCCACCTCCCGAACCCCTTTTGGGTTTAGCCTTAACCCGTGTGCACACCCCCCCAGTGCGACACAGACCGCAGGCGCTCCAACACCGAAGGTTCACCTGTCGCTGCGGCTGGACCGTGCCTTTGCTGTGCACGCGCTGGGGGCAATCTCCCTAACCCATTTCGGGTATAGCCCAAACCTGTGTGCACACCCCCCCAGTGCGACAGAGACTCCACGACTCTTGCTGGGGCTGGGCCCTTTCTTTGCTCTCAGTGCGCTGGGGGCCACTTCCCTGACCCCTTTCGGGTTTAGCCCCAAACCTTGTGCGCACCCCCCCAGCGCAACACAGTCCGTAAGCACTCCACGACTGAAGGGGATGAACCCCACCCTTGCTTTCAACGCACTGGGGGCCACATCCCCAACCCTTTTCGGGTATAGCCCTAACCCGTGTGCCAACCCCCCCAGTGCGAAGGTTTCTGCCCTTGCGTTCAACGTGCTGCAGGCCCCCTCCCCAAACCCTTTCGGGTCTAGCCCTAACCCGTGTGCACACCCCTGCAGTGCGACACAGGCCGCAGGCACTCCACTGAAGCTCCACATCTCGCCGGGGCTGGACTTTGCCCTTGCTTTCAACGCACTGGGGGCCACCTCCCAAACCCCTTTAGGGTATAGCCCTAACCCGTGTGCTCACCCCCCCAGTGCGACACAGGCTGCAGGCATGCTGCTGGGGGCCACCTCCCGAACCTCTTTTGGGTCTAGCCCAAACCGCTGTGCACACTCCTGCAGTGCGACGCAGACACCTGCGGATGAACCGTCAGAAACACTTAAACTTACACTACACACGCCTCTCCATGTGCCCTGGGATGTTCGACCGCAGCCGGGTGCACCTGTCTTGGTTGCGCTCACACCTTCTGGCGTTTGTTGCTTGAAAAAGACATGCGCACGATTTTCTGGCACAGCTCAAGTCCCTTTTCCTGAAAGTCATTGGAAGGGGTTCAGGCGACGCAGTGTGCCTTGACGTTATGGGGCGCCCGGTCCCAGAACTTGAAAAGCTGCCAGCCTGGACCATTATTACTTCCATCGATCAAGTGCCCATGCAGCCGCCCCAGTATGCACCAAGCAGTGTCTCAGCCACGAGGGTCAGGCGACAGGGTCAGGGTTTCTGCTTCCAAGTGCCATCCGCTTTTGCTGCGCATTGGTGCATGCACCTGCCCATTGCGCTGATTGAGGCCATGGGCTGGTCGGTCACCTTCGGCGCCTTCCCTCCACGAGCGGTTGATAGGCTACAAGTTTCCCTCCAACCAAAGCTTGCAGGCTTTGTGATATCTCCAGAGACCATGCAAGGGCTGCTGCGTAAGCAAAGTTTCTTGGGGCAACTGTACCAACTCGCCAAAACACAGCCGCCAGGGTGCCCTAAGGTTGAGGTTGAGCTTCAGTGCCAGGCCGAGACTGTGGCGTTCACATCCTTGCCCGCTGCAATGACTGTGGAAACCATCCTCAACTGCTGGCGGTCTGCCAGCCTGTTCGCTGGTTGTTGGCCGAAGGCCAGGGTTACATCGGGCCCGTTCCCGCTCCCTGTCGAACGCAACCTGCAGACAAACGGAGCGCAGCCCCTGTTCCGCCGTAAGGGATCCAGCCGCATTTTGCTTTGTGTCCATGTTGAGCATCGAGGTGGCGGCGCTAAGGATGACGGGGTCCAGTTGGCTAAGACGAGGATTGCCTCACTGTTGTTGGACAGAGGAGTGAGCCTGCATGAAACTACGGTTGTCACAGACCGCCTGTTAGACAAGCTCGGGGCCTCCAAATGCCTGGCTCTGGTTAAGCCTACTGACCCGGCCCAGCGATGGGAGGACCTTGCTAAGAACGCTAAGGCCGCAGGGGTTGAGTGGCCTAGTGGGGACAGCCGAGTTGCCAAAGCAGCTGCCCGAATCCAAAAAGCCTTGCGAAAACAACGCCTTCCGGCACAGACCGTGCCAGTGGCCGCGCAATTCCGCTTATGCCCAGGGATATGGTGTGGCATGGACGAGCAGCCGGTGCCCATCTTGCAAAACCTTTGTCCAGGTGCAACAGGTGTTATCCTGCAGGACGCCGCCGCAACAACCCCTGAAGACCTTGCCTTGCTAAGGACAATGGAGTCGGATGCTCTGTGTGTGGCGGTGTTGGGGTACGATTGCCCAGAGCCTTCGACCTGCGGGGGAACCATTAGTATCTCGGCCGAGGATGTGGAGACCGGGCGTCCACACCTCCTCGCCGGGTGCTTCCACAACGTAGGGGCCACGGATGTGCAACCAAAGTACCAGACGCAGGCTGCAGTGACAGTTGAAGGCATGGTGTGTTGCGCTTTCACGGTGTATAGGGATGATCTCCCTGCAGAGGTCCAGTGGTCCCACTTCATTGAAAGCCCGGTTCGCACAGCCCAGCAACAACTGCAGGCCCAAGGCGTTGAAAAGCCCTTCGTCAACCCGTGGGGCCGCACATACCGGGCAGATGGAAAACCGGTTGCGCCAAGCCAAGCTGACTCTTTGCAGTTCTATGCCAAGGTGCCTGACTCCATCCTGCGCACTGTCCTCCAGCAAAGCGGCTTTCTGTATGGTGTACGTTGTGCCCAAAGCGTGGGGGGATTCAAGACCCTTGCCCGGGTGGTCGGTTGTTTGGCTCGCAGGCTCTAAGGCTGAGGTTGAACGACAGGCCCTCGTTGTCCCATCTCAACATGGCCTTGTTCGGGGCCGACGCAGGTTCGGAATACGTGTCCCGGCCGACGCCTTTGCTGCTGTCTTTCAGCAACTCCGCCCATCGGACCCAATTCCAGAAAACATCCCAGTCTCTAGCTTGTACAAGGTTGGCCCCTTGCCAGCTACAGCCTCTGAGCGCGATGTCCTTACATGGGCGAGCAAGCTTCCATGGAAGGTCAAGGTTCTGAAAATGTTAGGACCAGCGTACTACCTCCTGGGCACAAATCAGGAACCTCCCTCCCTTCAGCCGGCCTTCAACGGCACGCCTGTGCTTGTGTCTTACGTGCAGCCACGTCAATCCACGCGTCGGGTCATCCAGGCTGAGGAACCCCCTCGTGCGCCAGTGCCATCGTCAGCGTCCGCTGCTGCTGCTGACACACAGGACCCGTGGTCCTCCCAAGACCCGTGGGGTCAGTACCTCGCAACAAAGGCAGCGGGGCCGACGGCGCCGCCACGCCTTCCTCCGCAACCTGCAAAAGGCCTTGACGGGCAGGCAGCTGCACGCCTCACTGAACAAGACAGACGACTGCATGCCCTGGAAACAAGTATTGCGCAGCTGCAGGGAGCAGTCGAGAAGGAGTCAGTGGACAGGAAGTCGGACCTCAAGAACCATGCGGACGATTTGGGGCGCGTCCGCGCAGACATGCAGCTCCTAAGCAATCAACTGGGTCAACAGCTCAGCTCTAGCATCGACTCCTTGCGTTGCGCCCAAGCCCAGCAGGAGCAACAGGTGGCGCAGGGCATGGCTGAGCTAAAACAGTTGATCCTCGCCCAGGCCGCTGAGAAACGACCCCGCCGTGAAGACTCGGAACTGTGACGGTTTCCGGGGGTCTTTCCCCGCCAGCACTGCCACGCAGTGCTTTTTTGGGTTTTAGCTGCTGGTCGGGTTAGTGGTTGTGCCTCCCGCTTTGTCACTGGGAGAATGACCGTCTTGACTGAGCGGCCTCGTTGCCTTTTTGCCAAAAGACTGCCACCTCCGCAGCCATATGCTGTTCTCGGAGGTTTTTGGCCCTTCCGTCATCTAACCACGTTGCTCTGGCCCCGGAGGGGCTCTGCTACCATCTACCGTCTTGAATCTTTCCCCAAAAAGAGCTTAGTTGTTGCAACGACGCTAGGCCTAGGACTCTTTGTGCCGATATCCCAAGTTGCTGTACTCGAGGCCTTGCCAAGCTCTGGTGCCTCAGCTCCGTGCAGGTGGAGTTGGGGGTCCCGACATGGTACCGCCCCTCAACGATGCTGCCGCTGTTCCGGCATGCTTGTCCTCTCGTCCCACACAGACACGAGCCTGCCAAGACGGACGACGCAGCATGATTGGTGGCGTGCCTGTAGGGTTGGTGAAGCCTCACATCCAGGACCGGCGCCAGTTACACTTCACAGGTACTTCCAGCTGAACCCACAGCAGCGTGTCACGGCACCAAAGGCTAATAGGCGTCAGGTTAAAACCGTGCAGGGTGGGGATGTGTGTCGTATCGTGGTGTGCAACCCGACGTCTGTTCTCCACAAAGAGCAGGATCTCTTGAGCCTACAGGGTGATATCTTGTGTGTGTCTGAAACTTCTGCGGTTGCACGGGTTCAACATATCGTGGGCCATAAGCTCCGGCAGTATGGGCTGACGTCCCACTGGGGAGCTGCAGTCCCATCACATCAACGTGAAGGCCACGCGGATACTTTACGTGGAATGGCAGCGGGCGTGGCGATGTTCACGCATCTCCCCAGTCGCCCGTCCATACAGCCGTTACAGGGTGAGCATGCTAGCTGTGGCCGCCTGGCCGAGGCGTTCGTGAGATTTGGCCCTGTGGAGGTTCGTCTACTGACACTATATGGTCTGCCTGCAAACCACACAGGTGCCATGACTTACAACAACTCCCTCCTTCAGGCTGCCTTTGACAGAGCCTGCTCCTGCCGAATTCCGTGTATTATTGCTGGAGACTTCAATTGCCGACCAATGTCCCTCCCGGCCGGGCAGGCTTTTGCGAGCCGTGGGTATCATGAAGCCTTCCAACTCCATGAAGATAGGACGGGCCAGTCCCTACCTCCCACGTGCAGGGGGTCCACCCGTCATGACACTTTGCTCCTTCACCCGGTGCTGGTGCCCTTCTGGATTGGGGCGCAAGTACTCGCGGGACGACACCTTTTTGATTCGCATGATCCCTTGGTTGTCACTTTGAAGGTTCCCCATGCCCTCCCAACGGTTCAGACTTGGACAATGCCGAAGACATGGGCGGATTCCCCTCCGCCGCCGCATCTGTTCAAGCACCATTGCGAGGCCCTGCTCCCTCAGGTGCACGCGCAACTCCAAAGGTGTCAAACCTCCACTGATGTGGGGACGTGCTTGCAGTCGTGGGCCTCCGCTGTGGAGGAGGCGGTCCACCGCGGCTTGTTGGACTCCCCGACGGACTCGGGTCAGTGTGGTCTCCGGAAAGCGCAACGCGGACGGTGCCGCCCTAGAAGCCTGTGTCAACGCCCTGTCCCACAGCTGGTGAAGGCGGCAAGGCGTGGCGATTTCACCACGGATGTTGAGGCCACTTCGGTTCTGTGCCGGATGCGGGTGCGGCAGGTTCGGCGGCTGGAGGAGCTTGCCCGCACCATTCATGCAATCCAACACCGCCCAGGCAACAACCATAGGAACCGCTGCGCCTGTGACCAGTGGCGGCGTATACGGAATGCAGCAGGATACTCTATGCCTTTCCCCGCTTGGCTCTTGCGCGTTGCCCATTTCCATCAGGTGCCACTCGACCTGCCCGACGCTGACTGGCTTTGTGACTGCATCAGTTATACCAAGTTTGATTGCCAAGCCTTGGCTAAGCAGGAGGCAAAGTGCCGCGCGGACAAGTTCAAAATCAGAATGGCCTTGGATCGGCGCTACCATGCGTCGGCGGAAGGGTTTGCGGCTGTGCGCCCAGCGCCGCATCCCCCTTTCACCAGCGTGCCCCATCGACTGGAATGCCAGGCCCTTCTGGTCCATGCTGAGGATGCAAGCATGTGTACATATGCCCTCCCTGCAGGGGTGTCTCTGCACCCGAGCGCCCCGTTCACTGTCAATCAGGCCACCATCCCGCAGGCCACCAACGAGGGTGACCACATTTGTGTCCGTGGCCCATCACTTGGGGAGTCCATTTGGGTGTCACAGGACCAGGTGGCATGCACAGCTCCCGAGCTTGCCAAGGCCTTCAGTGACTACTGGGGGCCGCTCTGGGGCCGTGACCGTACTGAGGAATCACAGCAACTTGCAGGTTGGGAGCTCTTCCAGGCAAACACGCAAGACCTTTCAGGGCCATTGCCACGCATTGATGTTGACATGTGTGACATACGGTTGTGGCGACAAGCTATCCGGCGAATGCCCAAAATGAAGGCCACAGGAATCTGTGGATGGTCCCCGTCTGAGCTCAAACTTTTGCCGGACTGTGCTCTGGAGGTTCTGATCCGCATCTTTCAGATTGCCGTTAAGTTGGGTCTGCCTGCTCACATGCTTGAGTCGCGCGTCTGTGTCCTGGCCCGGCCAAGCATGAGGCGCCTGAGCACATCAAGCACAGTCGTCCTATTGTCATATTCAGTACTTTGTATCGTCTTTGGGGTTCAGTTCTTGTGAACCAGGTGCTGCACACGTGGGGAAACACCTTTCCACCGGCAGTCATGGGGAGTCTACCAGGCAGGGCTGCCAGTGATCTGGCGGGGCGACAGCAGCATGCCATTGAATGCGCCCTGCTGCAAAAGGAGACGCTTTACGGGGTTGGGGTTGACATAGTAAAATGCTTTAACCAGCTGCCATGGCCTCCCTTGCGTGTCCTGATGACACGAGCAGGCATGCCTGGTGACCTCGTTGACTTTTGGTTGCAGGGTTTGCGCAAGGTTGTTAGGCGTCCTGTTTTCCTCGGGTCGGTGTGCCCTGCTGGCATAAAGGCCTATAACGGTGCGCCGGAGGGCGACCCAGTGTCGGTCGCCGCCATGGCTGCCGTGTGCTATTGGGCTCACAACTTCATTCAACCGTCTTCTGCTGAGTTCGGCACGTACGTTGACAATTGGAGTTGGCAGGCGCCGGCGCTCCCAACGTTGAAGCATGCCACCTCATACCTCCTCCGTTTCCTTCAAAGTCTCAAACTCCCTGTGGACTGGACTAAGTCCTACAGCTGGGCTACAACTCCAAGTGGCCGTCAGTGGCTCCGGACAGGGCTCGCTGACGTGTTGCCGCCTGAAGTGCAACTGCCGGTTGCGCGAACGGTCAGGGAGCTTGGGGCTGCTTTCCAGTTCGATGCCTCCCAGCATGCAATTGTCCGCAAGGGCAAAGTCGAGCTGGGGCTTGAAAGACTCCGGAAATTGGAAAAGGTGCCACGTCCTATTCTGGAGAAGGCGCAGCTGATACAAAAAGGGGTTTGGCCCAGCTGCTTGTATGGACTTGAGGGTGCCTCCTTGAGTGTGCAGGACGCGTCCCGGCTGCGTGCCGCAGCCACGAGGGCCTTGCTGGGCCCTTCGCAAGTCGCAAGCCCCCACTTGGCGCTCACATGCCTCCATGCCTCACTTCAGGACCCACATCTCTTTGCCATTGAGAAGCAGGTCTTGCAACTGCGCCGCTTCATACACCATGCGCCCCATACGGCTGCATCCATGTTGGCAGTCATGTCTGACTTCCACGAGGTCCCTCGCGTTACAGTGGGCCCTGCTACGGCCTTGTTAAAGTCGCTTCACTTCCTGGGACTGAAGATGGACCTTGATGCCCGAGTGAAGGGCCCGGACAATGTTTGTCTGCAGCTGCAAACTGCCAGTGCAAAAGACGTTCGCAGCTTCCTCACGAGTGCCTGGGAGTGCCATGTGGAGCGCACCGTTGCCCATAGGAACGGCTTACAGGGTGTAGGAACGCCTTGGGGTCAAGAGACCGCCCGCATCCTCCGCCAGGTTGGGGATGCGGAGGCACTGGTGTTGGCTCGCTACGTGTGCGGTGC